CTAGAAGTGCCGCACGCCAGCGCCCGTTCAGCGCCATGGCTGCCACTTATCGACATGAGCGCGCGCGCCAACGATTGAACGTCACGAGTTCACAACATTCCGCCCGCCTTCGTTAATTACCTTAACGAAAAGTTCTACATAACGTCAGCTTGAATAGGAAGCGGACATAGTTTGACCACCGGTCTCTTTAAGATAGAAGCTTGAGTCTTGATAGTCACTACCCGTACTAAGTCATCCTCACCAGGATGAACAGCAATGACTCTCGCTAGTGGCCATTTAGCAGGCGGATATCTCTCATCCACAACGAACACCATGGAACCTATCCCGATCGAATCAGATTCAATCTTCCACTTGGATATAGCGTGATATCGCTGTAAGCATTCTTTGGACCATCTTGTCCAAAAGCAATCAACCATTTTTCGTATTAGTTGCCATCTGGATAGTCTTGGAATACACGTGTCCTCTAAAGATGGTTCTGGTACAACATTAGGCGCGCAGCCCATGAGGAAGTGACCAGGGGTCAAGGCGTTTAAATCTTCTGGATCGTTACTTAGTGGTGTTAGTGGTCTCGAATTGAGAATGGCCTCGATCTGAACGAGTAGAGTATTCATCTCTTCATAGGTCAATAACGCGTCTCCTATTACTCGACGAAGGTGGAATTTCAAGGATTTTACTCCTGCCTCCCATTTTCCGCCAAAATGCGGAGCTGATGGGGGGGTTAAATTCCACTGTGTACCGTTATTTGCTAGCAGAGAAGCGAGTTGCTGAGATTCGGATGTGGCTTCGGAGAATAATCGTTGCAACGTAATATCTGCACCTGTAAAATTAGTGCCACAGTCACTCCATAATGAAGTACAGATTCCTCTCCGCCCCGTGAATCGTTTATATGCAGCTATGAACGCATCAACGGTGTAATCAGTAACCAACTCCAGATGAATCGCTGAGGTAGAAAGACAGACAAATAGAGCAACATAGGCCTTATACTTTCGAGCGTTTTTTCCCTTCCACGTTTTAATGGAGAGTGGTCCAGCATAATCAATACCCGAATGGAGAAATGGACGAGATTGTGTAACTCGTGCCTTTGGAAGCTGACCCATCAACTGCTGCGCCCTTTTCTGACGGAAACGAGTGCATTGAATGCATTTAAGTATATGACTCTTGATAGGGACCCGACCCCCTATGATCCAAAATTCCTCACGCAGAGTGGATAACATGATCTGAGTTCCCCCATGCAAGGTTCGCTCATGCGTATCTGCTATGACTAATGTAGTGAGTGGAGAACACTTCGGTAAGATAGCCGGATGTCTGGCTTCCATCCCTAACGATGAATTTTGAAGGCGACCCCCAACCCGTAAGATACCGTCAGCACCTTTGAACGGCGTAAGTCGCGAAAATGGGTGTGAAGGTTGAAAGTGTTTTCCGCTAGAAATCAACTCAAGCTCTTTTGAAAAGACCGCTGATTGTACGGTTTTTACCCAAAATTGTTTCGCCGAATCTAATTCAGTGGTAGTGAGAGGATGCGTCAGAGATGACTTAGGAGATTTGCGAAACCTGTCAATAACTCGTCGGCAAACGGCAGTAATCCTAAGTAATTTCGTTAAGGAAGAGTATCTCGATAGAAGACTCCAATATTCGAACTGTTGAACGCAAATCGTAACCACCTTAATGGGTTTTTCTTCCAGGTTTTCAGTGCTTTCGGTACCGCTTAGAGTAGTTGGCCAATCAGAATACGGTCTCGTTAACCACACGGGCCCGTTCCACCAAATCTCCTTATTTAATAGTTGACTAACTGTTAAACCTCTTGTTGCCAAGTCGGCAGGATTCTCCTGTCCTGCCACGAACCTCCATTGCGCTTGCGGCAAGGATTCCTGAATAAAGCAGACTCTGTTGTGGACGAAGTCCTTCCAACGTGAAGGATGGTTACTTATCCAGGTGAGCGCCACAGACGAGTCGGTCCATAAATAAATGGGAATGTGATTCTGATTCAAAATCTCCAATATGTGTCTCACTAGCTTGGTCAGGAGAACCGCACCAGCGAGCTCCAACCGCGGTATGGTCATCCGTTTCAAGGGAGCCACTTTAGTCTTTGAACCAATTAACTTCGTATGGATAGTTCCATCGCTAGAGGTCAATCGAGTATAGACGACTGCTGCAAATGCATGCGGTGAAGCATCAGCGAATCCGTGTATTTCAAATGTTCGATCGGAACTTAAGCCTATCCATCTAGGAAAACTAACAGAAGTTAAATTCTGAAGATCGTTAACGAATGAGGTCCATTTAGAAGCTATCGTAGAAGGAACTGGGTCATCCCATCCCAGTTGTATTGACCAAACTTCTTGCATTAATATCTTCGCCTTTATAATAACAGGTGATAGGAAACCAAGCGGATCGAACAACCTTGCAATTGTAGACAATATAATTCGTTTCGAAATGATCTCCGTTTGTTTGTGGTGAAAATTAAATCGGAAAATGTCCGTATCTAAATGCCAATATAGTCCAAGTGACAGCACAACTGAGTTCTCCCCAACTGGTACAGACGAACTAAAAATTCTATCCTGTTCCGGTATGGATGTTAATACGTCAGGGTGATTACTAACCCATTTCTGCAAGTGGAACTCGCCCGCCATGCAGAGTTGGTCTACCTGCTGAAGAATCATTTGCGCCTGATCGATAGAATCTCCTCCTCCGAAGAGGTCATCTACATACCGGCCCTGTGTCAATACAGGAACCGCTAAGGGAAATTTCTCTCCTTCATCCGTAGTTAGTTGATACATGACCCGAAGAGCTTGATAGGGAGCGCAAGCCAATCCGTAGGTTACGGTTGTAAGTTGATAGGTCGATAAGTGACCCTCGTGGTCTATCCATAAAATTTGCTGATATTTCCAGTCTTCTGGATGGATCTTTATCTGACGGAACATCTTCTCAACGTCAGCTGAAAATACATATCGAAATTGTCTAAACCAAATCAAGACCTTGAACAAGTCAGTTTGCATTTTGGGTCCAACATGAAGTAAGTCGTTCAGTGATATTCCCGTCGTAGTCTTGCTGGATCCATTAAACACTACCCTTAGCTTAGTCGTGATACTACTTTCCTTTACTATTCCATGATGAGGTAAGTAATATCCAGAAGTGGATTCTGACTGAGAATCTGGTATCGGTATCATATGTCGCAGCGTTGCGTATTCAGCTACAAAATCTGAGTACAATCTTGCGTAAGCTGAATCCGAGGCGAACCTCCTATTCAACTGATGTACCATGCGAATGGCTTTTGCCTTCGAGTCTCCCAATTGCTCTGTGGAACGTTTGAACGGTAACCTTAGCACGTATCGGCCTTGTTGATCCCTTGAATGTGCGTCTTGACAGAAATCTTATGCGGATGAGTCGTGAATTTTCCATGCCGAGTCTTCTCGAAAGCTTGCAGCGACCGAAGTCTGGATAATAGAAACTCGGTGAATTGTTTCCACGTAGGTGGCTCCTTGGTGGAACCCAAGTGCTGCTCCCATGCTTTGACCGATTCAGAATCCAAGCGTTGTACGGCAACAAAGACAAGGAAGTCATCCCACTGTCCTACTGGTCGTTGTAAATTTTCCAGAGACCTGTATATTTGCATGATGTTAGTGTACAAGAGCTCCATCTCCTGAGCTGATTCCTTGGACATACGTTTCAAGTTAAGCAGAGAGTTCAAAGTCGAGTTCACCAACATTCTGGTATTTTCATAAAAGGCAATTAATGTCTCCCATGCTCGTTGGAAGTTATCCCCCGTAATTGTCATATTCCTTAACAGTTGAGCAGCATTGCCGACCAAGCTAGTTTTCAAATACTGGATTTTTTCTACCGCAGATAAAGAACGATTAGCTATCACAAGAGATGTAAATAAATCTTTGAAAGAAAGCCACTCTTCAGGATTGCCATTAAATTTCGGAATTTCTATGCGAGGTAACTTAGCGTGATGATAATATGAAGTACCTGTCGGAACAGGGAAATCCAGACGACCCGAAGAAGATCCGGTCAAGGCTCCATGATCAGAATCGTATAATAAACCGATACGCTCCGTAGACTCTAAGTAAAGTTCCCGGGTAGTGACAAACAAGTTATCCAAGAAGTAAGAATGACTCCGTATGTACAGTCTATCCTCAACACTTAATTCTTGCAAGGCTATTCCAATGGCCTCGTGAACTATGGAGAACTTCTCCCAATCATCTTTCAGAGCAGCAAGTCGTGCCTGAATTCTTTGTGAATTCAAGTTAGTTAATCCTACTTTAGTTAAATCTTCGTAAGAACTAGCAATCAAGTGGTTCAGTGCGACCTGCTGCTCTAAGCGAGCCTCCACATGTGCTAGTCTCATCTCGCAACTGCTTGAATAGATATCTCTATATATCCGGCTCGAAGGACCAATGTTCGATAGCAGTCGTTTAATTCAAATATATCTATCAGAGCGGAATGAGATTCACACTTTGTTTCATACAAGTAATCGCTATACTTAGTTAAAAACCTAGAATAATTCTTATTACTAATGAACATGTATAATTAGACTTAAAGTTAGAGGTTATACGGAAAGCTAGCCGTACATAGTTGATTGGATATTAGGTTAGCATTACAATAAGGTAGTTGATTAAATGTTGATAATAAAATGCAAACAAGAAGGTAACGTTACAAGTATCCGTAAAGAAACTGTGGATGACTAACGCGTCTAGATCGGTTGACTATAATAAACTGTTCTTCAATACCTCAATAAACGATGAGGTTATTACGTGAGTGGGTGATGGGAAGGAAATATGTAGACGTATTCTTTGGCTGCACCAGCGTCTTCGTTAGATCCTGATGAGTTGCCGAGTCTCGACTAAGTCCATGGTTTGATGGGGCCAGTCATCG